GTAAAATTATACATATACGTTTAAATTTAATATTTTTATTTCCTGTGGCAATAATCCTGTTTTCCTTTGGCTCAAGCTTTTACAATTGTAATTTTCCTTTTTTTTTGTATCGGGAAACGAACTCAGGGCCTTTCGCTTGCCAGGCTGGCGCTGCATTGTTGAGCTACGTCCCCAGCCCCTAATACCCAAATTGTAATGTGTACAGTTGATCTAAATTACATTAGTAATGATGAGCATTAAAAATATCAGAAAACTGATGAACTCAAGCTCTCTGGTTGAAAGCTTACAGTACTCGGGCCTGAGCCCTGTCCCCACTTCCTTCTCAAAGGCAAGGTGAAGGTGGGCAAAGCCTGGAGGGCAGAGCCCTGTGTGACACCCAGTAGAAGCCTGTGCAGGGGCGAGCCAGAAGAGCTGTCCGGGCAGGGCCTCCAGTTGGGCACGGTTTCCCGCGGCTGCTGATTGGTTGCCTGGGGTCAGATTCTGTCTGAAATCTCTATGAAAGGATTAAGAGCATAGGCGCGTGAGAAGATTCCAACGCAACTAACGGCTTAGAGACCCACATTGCAGATACTCAGAGGAGAGATACCGAAAAACACGGGTATTCTGAAAGGAGAAGGCAATCATACTCAGGCACAGAAAATCATCCTGGAAGATGAATCCTCCAGATCAAACCAAAAATGAGTCCTTGAGGGAAGCAGCAACGCCGCCTGACCTTCTTGGGGGCGCTTCCAACTGGCCTGAGGGAAGGAGCCAGCACTGGGAGGCCAGACACCTCACATATCCTTTCTGCCACCTGGAAGAGGAAACCCAGCGTGGGAGCTGTGGTTGGGGCCCCAGGGAAGCCCCAGATGGAAGGGAGGGACAGCAACACCGAAATGGGCAGTCCCTGCCCCCATCACCTTCCCAAACACCAGGGGTGTGTCCTGGTGGCATCTCACCCACTGTCCAGGGTTGACAAGGGAAGCACCCTGCCTGAGGCAGAGAGAGGCTGAACCCTGAACCATGAGCAGCGCTGAGCCTGCTGACAGTGACCCACAAATCGCATCCCTGCATCCACTGTATGGTGAGAGACTCAATGGAGTTGGCCCAGAGTGGGTGTTTTCCTGCTGTTTCCCTAAACACTAGGAAGAGTTGAGTTAGCCAGAAACCCTACCCACTGCCCACCAACCAATTCATGGGGGCAAAGGAGATCCTCTGCCAGCCCAGGGACTGTGCCAAGTTTTGTGGTTGGAAAATGGAGCTCTTGAGCCAGGGAATGATTGGGGATCTGAGTGTGAAGGAACAGAGAGTGTTCCCAAACTAAAAGCCCCAACTAATCCAGTAATGGGCAATGAAATTGTGGCAGTAGTAAAAAACCTAACAGCTAAAAAAATTCATTAAATTCTAAAATTGAAAGGGAAGGACTACTTCCTAACTCATTCCTGGAAGCAAGCATTACTCTGATTTCAAAACCAAAAAAGGACCCAAGTAAAAAAGAAAACTACAGGTTAAACTCTTGAATGAATATGGATGCAAAAATTCTCAAAAAGATACTGAAAAACAGAAAGAAACAAATCATCAAAAAGATCATACATCATAACCAAGTAGGCTTCATCTCAGGGATGCAAGGGTGGGTTCAACACACCCAATGGGGTGTATTAACACCACATAAACAGCAAGAACAAAAAAATTACATGATCATCTTAAAAGATGCAGAAAAGTCTTTGACAGAATCCAGTATCAATTTATAATAACCATGAAGAAAATAGAAATAGAAGGACCTTATCTCAATCTGATAAAAGCCATTTATGACAAACCAAATGGTAATATATTAAATTAATAATAAAGCTGAAAGTTTTCCCTCTCAAATCAGGAATAAGGCAAAGACGCCAACTATCACTACTCATGTTCAAAATAGTACTCAAAGGTTTAGCCAGAAGAATTAGACAAGAGAAAGGAATAAAAGGAAAAGGTAGAGGAAATGATGAGGTCAAATTATTATTTGCAAACATGATTCTTTATATAGAAGACCTTAAAATTCCATTTAAAGGGCTGGGGATTTAGCTCAGTGGTTCTGCCACCTGCCTCACAATCAAAAGGTCTCAAGTTTGATCCCCAGTATGCCCCCCACAATCCATTTAAAGTCTCCTAGAACTACTAGCCAAATTCAGCAATGTAGCAGAATTTAAAATCAACATACATAAATCAGTAGCATTTCTCTATAACAATAATGAAAACACTGAAAAACAACTTAGGAGAACAATACCATTTACAATAGCTTCAAGAAAAGTTAGATACTTAGGAATTAACCTCACAAAGGAAGTGAAAGATCTCTATAATGAAAACTATATTACTCCGAAAAAAGGAGATTGAAGAGGACATCAGAAAATGGAAAGATATCTTCCCATCCTGGATAGATAGAATCAAATATTGTAAAAATGGCCATATTTCCAAAATGATATATAGATTTATTGTTTTTTTTTTTTCCCAGAACTGGGAGTTGAACTCAGGACCTTGTGCTTGCCAGTCAGGGATGGTGCTACTGAGCTACAACCCCAGGCCTTTGATATATATATATTTAATGCAATCCCAATCAAAATACCAACAGCCTTCATTATATTACAAAGCTGATTAAAAACACCATGGTACTGGCAGACAAATAGATGTGGTTCAATGGAACAGAATAGAGGATGCAGAAAGATCCCCTGGCACATTCAGACAACTGATCTTTGACACAGGGGCAAAAGTATATAATGGAGGAATATATTTCTCAGCAAATAATGCTGAGAAAACTGGTTAGTCATATGCAGAAGATTGAATCAAGACTCATATCTATCCCCACGCATAAAAATAAAATAAAAATGGATCAAAGAGATAGATATTTAAAAAAACAACTTACCCTGCTGGAAGATAAAATAGGTAAAACTCGAAGACATAGGTACAGGACAGGACTTTCTGAACAGAACCCCAACTGCACAAGAAATAGCATCATCAACAAATAAGATTATGTCAAATTGAAAAGCTTCTTCACAACAAAGGAAACAGAGTGAAGAGACAACCTATAGAAAGGGAAACAATTTTGCCAGCTACTCATCTGACAGAAGACTAATATTTATAGTTTTCAAAGAACTCCAAGGAATAAAGACCCGATAACAAAAATAGACAACTGAAATGAACAGACACTTCTCAGAAGATGAACTACAAATGGCCAATAAATATACAAAGAAGTGCTCAACATTTCTGACCATCAGAGAAATGCAAACAAAAACTACACTGAGATTTGATCTTATTCCAGAAAGAATGGCTTTCATAAACAAACAAACAAGAAATAATAAAGCTGGCCTAGACTGTGGGGAAAAAGGAACCCTTTTACATTGTTAGTGGGCACACAAACTAGTATAATCACTATGGAAATCAGTATGGAGATTCCTCAAATAACTAAAGCTAGAAATTCTATTTAACCCAGTTATCCTCTTCTTGGTATCTTCTCCAGAGTTAAAGAAATCATACCACAGTGATATATGCATATCCCTATTTATAGCAGAACAACTCATGATAGTTAAATTTTAGGAGCCACTATATCAAAGGATGAATGGATAAAAAATGTGGTATTTATACATAATGCAGTACTACTCTGCCATAAAGGATACATTTGAGTCATGTGTAGGAAAATGGATGTACCCTGACATCACAATGTTAAGTGAAATAAATTAGACATAAAGCTTAAATATTCCATAACTTCTCTTTTTTCCCCCCCTTGGGAGATACCTCCTTTATTATTGTCATTGTTATTTCATTTTTTTTTCAGCTTTAATTGAGTTTATTGGTACATTTTAGGGATACAGTAGTGACATTCATTGTTGGGATCTTGTACCTCTACATGACAAGTCTTGGTTCTCATTTTTCCCCCTTGTCCCTGCCTTCCCTTCACCCCCTCCTCCCCTCCCCATAACTTCTCTTATTTGAGAAATACAAATTATAATTTAAAAGATCAAAAGACAATAGGAAACAAGGACACATCTTTTGCAAAGGGGAAGGGGATTCAGAGATGGGGGCAGGGAGTGAGGGAAGGGGATGAGGAATAAAAAAATTAAGGTATGTTAAGTACATTCATTGCTGAAATGAATGTGAATATCATGTACTGCAAATATATACTAAGAAAAATTTTTTAAAAATAAAGGTATAAGCAATCCTCAATAAAATATAAATCTATTAGAAAACTTCTATTGTGATGCTGAGTCAGGGTTTATGAGGCCATGTCACCCAAGTAACAATTTGACCCCTTGGGGGCTGTATTTCTCTTGGGAACAGGTTTTAGTGAGAGTCAGGGGAGGTGTACCCGTCATTCTTGAGCAGGAACACAACCACTGGGCAGGGGAGGGCAAAAATGGTAATTGTGACTACCAGGAACTTCTAGGGTAGATAAAGTCGAGAGTGTGGAAACTTCGTATGTCCTTGTCATATGGGACGTCTTTACGAGTCCTCTGTGGGTTGCTCACTGCAGTTATTAGAAGAGGCCTTAAACCCAAACCCTGTAGGCCCAGGGAGCACCAGGCGCCCAGCTCTGCGGTGGGAGGAGCCGCATCTGCGGAACCTCCCGCCCCGCACACCCCGCCCCTTCCGGCGCGGGAAGTTTGATTTCCTTGGCGGGCGGAAGCGAACTGTTCTGGCGGTGATCGAGACGATTCCTAGTAGGAATTTCTCGTATCCTGCGCTTTGCCGGGAGGGCTGGCTGGCTCGTCTGTCCGTTTGTCCGTCCCGCCAGGTCCGGCCCTCCACCCCTCAGGTCAGTCCTCCTGCCTACTCTCCGCGGCTGTTGGGTGAGGGCCGGAGTCTGTCTGCGCCTTTCGCCGGGGGGGCCGCTGGGGCCCAGTTTTGCTCCCGGCTCCGGGGCAACAGAATTCTCCGGAGCCCCACCCTACCAGCCCTGTTCTGTTGCTGAGGTTATTAGCCGTTCCCACCCCGGTTTTCTGCTCTGGATGGTAGGACCCACCTCAGAGGGTTATTGGTGAGGCACGCAAGCACTACGTTTGCACTCAGGAAGGCTGCGACTGTGATTTCCCATTCCTGTTTCCGTGACCCTGACTGTACCCACAGAAGTTCGGAGAAGGGCTTTGAGTTGTTTGTACAGCGCAGTTTCCTAAAGTACTTCAGTTTAAAAAGTGCCAACATTCCCTTTTCAGAGTCCAAATCCCTTCCCTTCACCTTACAGTTGTGGCTTCAGAGGTTTACGCCAGAAGGGTGCCCGGAAGACCGTGGCGGTAAGAGGAACAGCAAGGTTGCTCCCACCGAGGGAGTGAAACTCCCCAGAAAAAGCGTTCCGAGACAGTGATCAGGCCTTTGGGACTTAGGACGAGTAATTGTTTTTGAGTTTTCACCTTAGGTCTTCGTGGATAGTGGAATGGAGGAAAGGTAGAGGTATCAGAGGTGCCTCAAGTTTTTTTTTTTTCAAGTTTTGCTTAGAGGTCAGTATTCCTAATTTTTTTGTTCATGTTTGGTTTCTTGTTCCCATGGGGTGTGAAAAATATGTATCAGAAAAGCCCTCATTGCCCTTCATGGACTTGATTCACCAGTGGATCTGCACTTCCTGCATAACTACTATGGGCCAACTAGATGGGCAAATCAACCCCCACTTGCCTTTAGAAATGAGTGCCCCATTGTTGATTCCTCCAGAAACCTCTGTAAGGGAGCAGGGCAGGATGCTGTTTAACTATTACAAGGCCACATTATAAGCGATTCTCTATTCTCAGTTGAAATTATCCTCAACATCATCGTCCTCACAGACTTATTAGCTAAATGTATTTTGCAGTACGTAATAGTACAGCCCCCCTTCCCGCAATAATGTGTTTGTAACAAGATGCCCCCAGTTTGCTGCTATCCGATAACATTTAACCTTAAGCCTCCCATTATCTTGCCAATTTCTTTTTTAGAGAAGTTCTGGACTGCAGTTATATATGTCCCCAGTTCTATTAGCAACATCTAGAAGACACTCAGGTGTCTTTCTTTGTTGTTGGCATTTGAGAGACTGTCTTCCACATTGACTGATGGTATATTTGGATTATTTCAATCAAATCTTTCACTGTTCTGTATTCCAACTTCTAGAGGATAAGCTGATATAAGAATATTTAATTTCTAATTAAGGATTTTAGAAGCTGCTCTATAGCCACAAAACTTAAAAGTCAGATATAATGTAGTATCAGTAGTACACCACCTGTGGCCGTTTGTGATATAAGCACTACTTTTCTTATATACTGGCAAAAATGATGTTCCCTGATTTTTTAAATACATATAATAAACTAGGCCCACGTTGGTTTTACCCAAATAAATGGTATAATTATGTTTTGGTTTTTATGAGACAGGGTCTTCTATGTTTTGGTTTTGATTTTTTTTTTTTTTTTTTGAGACAGGGTCTTGTTATGTAGTTTAGGCTGGCCTTGTACCCCTAGCAGACCTCCTGCTTCAGCCTCCTGAGTGCTGGAACTACAGGCATGTGCTACCTCTCCTGACGCTACCTGGTGTAATTTGAGGGAAGGGGGTTAGTAGAGGAATATTGGAAGAAAAAGGAGGTGCAATGGTTTCAGTTCTAATGTGGCCAAATTTCATCTCTGCTAGTCGGCCCAAGGTGATGAATTGGAAGTGTAAAACTTTATTTGGGAGCCTTCTATCAGGAAGTTAATTACGAAAGTCTTATATTCCAACATATATTACAGATTGTGTCCCCTTTCAGAGGATGAGAATTGGAAATAGCCCCGATCTTTTATGGAATTTAGACAGTGGTGGTGGCAATCAGATACTTCTTAATGAAGCAGCTGCTTTCCCTTTTTCCTTTTTACCTTGTGGTTTTTAAATCTTATTTATTTATTTATTTTTGCGGGGAGGGTACTGAGGATTGAACTCATGGCCTTCACCCTGAGCTACATTTTTAAATTTTTTATTTTGAGACAGGCTCTCACTAAGTTGCTAAGGCTGGGCTCTAATTTGGGATCCTCCAGCCTCAGTCTCAAAGTGTGGGATTACAAGCTTTTTTCAATACACTCAGCTGGTTTTTAAATCTTTATAATATGATACCTCTTTGTGTTTCTACTTTAGCTTTTGTGTTGTGAGTATACCAATACTGCATTACTTGGGGCTTTGTTCTTTAATGAACTTGCTAGTTTATTTAAAAAAATTTCCCCATTAGTACTAGGGATTAAACCCATGGCCTCAATGCTAAGCTACATCTGCAAAGCTTTTGAGACTAAGTCTTGTTAGGTTGCCCAGGTTGGTGTGGAACTTGTGATCCTCCTGCCTCAGCCTCCCAGAGTGGACAGGTACACACCACCTGCTCAAAGTTTTTTTAGGTGGGGTGCTCACTGCATTGCCTGGCCTTGGACTCCTGGGCTCATCTGATCCTTCTGTCATAGTCTCCCAAGTAGCTGGATGCCACCATGTCCTGTTTTTTTTTTTTTTTCCTTCTCCTTCTTGGTACCAGGGATTGAACACAGGACCTTGTGCTTTCAAGATAGGTAGCGGCTCTCCTGAGCCAAATCCCTGTTTTTTTGGGTACTGGGAATCGAATTTTGGACCTTGTGCTTATGAGGCAGGTGGTGGAACCACTGAGCCAAATCCCCAGCCCACTCTGTTTGGTTTTTGATACAGGGTCCTGCTCTGTAGTTCAGGCTGGCCTTGAACTCACTTTGTAGCGCAAGCTGACCTCAAACTTGTGGCAGTCCTCCTGCCTCAGCCTCAGAAGCGCTGGGATTAGAGGCAAGCACCATTGTGCCTGATGACAATATTCTTTTAAATGTTTTGCCATACTGAGGATTGAACCTAAGACTTCATATATACTAGGCAAGTATCCTACCGCTGAGCTACATTCTTAGCCCCTTTTAAATGTTTTAAAGATTTATCTTTCTTGTTTATGTCTTTATCTGATATTGGTGTGTGGTGTGAGATAGAAGTCTAATTTTTAAAAAATATGGCTAATCACTCCCCCCACCTCCACCAAAGATCTTGTGCTTGCAAGGTAGGTACAGTGCCACTGAGCTAAATCCCTGGCCTAATCAGTTTTCTAATATTATATGCCCGTTTATTTATATTTACAGTTAAAAATAGAGGAGTTAACCTGACAGCATGTACTATTTTTGTCTTACAGGTTCTTTTTGTCATTTTGAATAAGCTTCCAGGTGGACTATGAAAGATTATGATGAACTTCTCAAATACTATGAATTATATGAAACTATTGGGACAGGTAACTGATATTTTTTTCAGAGGATAGGTCAATTATTTGGAAGTGTTATCTGTTTGGGTAGTCATGAGATTTTTAGTTTAACATATAGTCTTTTGAATAAATTTTGTTTATTGAATTTTAGATTTCTACTTTAGTGAGAAAAAGTGGAGCAAGGATAGAGAAAAGAGTAGGTAACTTCTAATTCAGTGAAGAACTTTGATTTTTATCCTAAATAAAATTCATTATTGGAGAGTATCTGACCTTTGTTTTCATAGAGTTACCTGGCAGCTTTGTGGTAAAAAGACTGAGTAGGAGAGGGAAAGAGCAGAAGAAAGCTGTGAGGAAGGTATTAAAATAGCTTAGGTGCCGGGTGTGGTGGCGCACGCCTGTAATCCCAGCACTCTGGAGGCTGAGGCAGGAGGATCGCTGTGACTTCGAGACCAGCCTGGGCTGCATAGTAGTGAGTTACAGGTCAGTCTCAGCTACGTAGTGAGACCCTGTCTCAAAACCCCCCCCCCAAAAAAAATCTTAGGTGTATGATATTAGAGCTGACAGTGGCTTGGGCAAGAGTGACAGTAGTGAAAGGTAATATAATTATGTTTTGAAGTATAATATACAATAAAACAATGGATAATACAGTAAACCCAGTAGAGTTTTACATATATGTTACCCATCTGTTTACTCTCATATTTGCTGAAATGAGACATAGAGCATTTCCAGTCGGTACCTTCTTCCTTTCCCTCAAAGTATCCATTGATATATTTTTCCCAAAGTAAGCCAGTGCAATTTGTTTATGGGTTACATACTAGAGAAAGAGAAGGCTAAGGATAGTTCCAGGGTTTTAGGCCTGAGCATCTGGGGAAATGGATTTGCTCTTTACTGAAATGGGGAAGACCATGGGAACGATAACTAGGAGTTTCTTTTTTTGTGGTAGGGGAGATGATTTTTGTTGGTAGTTTTGAGATAAGATCTTGCTATGTAGTTCAGGTTGGCCTTGGACTCACTATGTAGCCCAGGCTAGACTCCGAACTCACAGCAATCTTCCTGCCTCAGCCTCCTGAGTCCTGGGATAATAGGTGTGTGCCACCACAACAGGCTTTTTGTTTGTTTTGTTTGTTTTTGTGAGATGGGGTCTTACTATGTAGTTCAGGCTGGCCTTGAACTCACAGTGTAGTCCAGGCTGACCTCAAACAGCAATCCTCCTGACTCAGCCTCCTGAGTGTTGGTGTTATAGATGTGTGCCACCACACCCAGCTAGAGACCAGTTTTGAGGGCCGGGGATTTAGCTCAGTGGTTCTGTGACCTGCCTTGCAAGCACAAGGACCTGGGTTCAATCCCCAGTATGAAAAAAAAAAAGAGACCAGTTTTGAAACATAATTGCTCATCTTCATAGTTTTAAAAACTGATTAAAGGGCCTAGGATTTATCTCAGTGGCTCTGCTGCCTGCCTTGCAAGCACAAAGTCCTGAGTTCAATCCCTGGTACCAAAAAAAAAAAAAACCCCAAAAAACAGATTAGAAATTTTGTATAATTTGTCTTGTGTTTCAGCTTTACATTGTATTGTAGTAATATTATAAAGCAAATTTAATTGTAATGTTAATCATAAAGCACATCTGTAAAGTGATTTCTGTTTTTCTTCATTACAAAATTTATTACTTTATTACAAAACTTCATTACTTCTTCATTACAAAGTTAGAGATATATTATCATGGTAGGGAAAAAAATTCTTCAGCTAGACACTGAAAAAGAAGAGGCTAGAATCCTTCTGACATTTTAGAAATGACATATGGAAAACCTCCAGGAAAATATGTCTCAATTGAGCCTTTTTGTTTTGTCTTTTGGTTTTGGAGATGGGGGTGTCTTGCTATGTTGCACAGGTTGGTCTTAAACTCCTAGGCTTAGGTGTTCCTCCCGCTGAGCAGGAGTATGTATGCGCCATTGCAAATATAGAAGGTGTGCTTGAGTTCTTGTGTATCTATTCATTATACACAATTCTGTATTTAGGTGGTTTTGCGAAGGTCAAACTTGCCTGCCATATCCTCACTGGAGAAATGGTGGCTATAAAAATCATGGATAAAAATGCACTAGGGGTAAGTTTAAAATTATTTTTGTAATATTCTGTGTATCTCAGTGTTGTGATTAAAACTTGAATGTCCTAGTTACTGCTTTTATAATATTTTTTGTAGCTTTTAAAAATATATATAGATCATGATTTTAAAGTACTTTTTTAGATTATTGCAGGGCAGTGGCACATATTTCACCTCTTAGATAAGCTGTCTCCACCATTTGGACCTTTTCTTAGGTTGCTCCCTAGTACCATTTGGGTGATGTAAGCACCTTCACCATTTGGGGCCATTTGGACCCATTACAGGTTATTTTGGGGCATGGACTGGTGAGAGATTCAGTGGTAGAAAAAATTTCTAGGCATTTGTTTGGTTTGAGTACTCATTTGATTTGGTTTGCTTTGGTTTGTTTATCTTTCTCTTTTTATAATCGCCTTTATTGTAGGATGGGCAGCAGGGTTTCAGTATTGTCCAGAGGCTGCATACTAACTGTAGTTAGGAAGCTGTGATGAGATGGCCTAGGCATATAAAGCAGGAAAGATCTCCCACTTTCAGAACTGATAGAACATTCCGGTCAGGGAGCTTCCATTTGGGGAGCAGGAAACTACCCTCTAAAGCAGTATTTATTTATTTAAAAAAAATTTTTTTTAAAGCAGTATTAAAATGGAAGTTTAAGTTCATCCTACAAAGGTGCTAGGCCTTGTCCATTCTTTTCTTTGTCATTGGGTTTCTTAAGAACCCATCTGGGGATTTATGTCAGCCACTTTGGGTCTTGAGCTGTTCTGGAATTCAAGGTTCCTTAACTGTTTGGCTGACAGGAAAGTTTGGATTAAAAGACTTTAAGAAGCTGGGTGTGGTGGTGCATGCCTGTAATCCTAGTACTTTGAAGCTGAGGTAGGAGGATCGCTGTGAGTTTGAGGTCAGTCTGGGATACATAGTGAGTTCCAGGTCAGTCTCAACTACATAGTGAGACCCTGTCTCAAAAAACCAAAAAAAAAAAAAAAAAAAAAAATT